GGCTCAGTTAGCATCTACCTTGCCAGCACTGGCCAGCACTGCCAGCAGCCAGGCCACTCTCAGGGCGGCGCTGGTAGCTCGGCAGCAGGACCCAGAGGCCCTGTGGGTCCCCGGATTATCACCTCGTCAGCTCCCTGGGGTCTCAGACAAACATGGCCTTCCTAGTCAAGGAAATAATGTGTCCCTTGTGATGCAAAGCCCCCTGGGGGGACCCCGAGGAGCTTCCTGGCCTCACTTTGAGCGCAGCTGTCCGCAATTCTTCCTGCAAAGCAGTGGGGATGGGTGGGCCTGGCTGGGCTCAGGTGGGCAAACAGTCATTTTGAAGGGAGAGACACTGGCTGGGATGTGTATTCACCCCCTCAGGAAGTGTCCAGGTTCCATGCTGCTCTTCGTGGCATAGAGATGCAGATTCCCTCCCAGCTTCCCGATTTCAAAGCCAGACCTGGTTGGAGACTTTTCAGAGCTTCACACCTGGGACCCACTCCTTCCAGAAGGAAAGACTCTCAATGACTTTTCAGAGAAGTTGGCTGAATTCTGGCTCTGAGTCTCTTTAAGGAAAGCATCTTTTTGTTTTGTCAGGAGTGGGGATGTCTAAGGGCTTTTGTGACCATATCCCGGTGGTGACTTCTCATCACACTCAAGGTGTACTTCCTAATTTTCTTAGTGACCGATTTATGTTTGAGGATTCCTGCCTCTGCTCCTACTCCCTGTCACTACATACACTTCGTAAAGACAAAGCAAAACAAAAACTCTTCTACATTATGCCTTGGTGATTCACAAGGTCCTGCTGCAGCCCCCTATGATCTGAGAATCAAATCCAAGATGATTTCCTCAGTTAACACCTATTTAGCCTGGAGGTCCACCCCAAACATCACTTCTTCAAGGCCGTCTCCCCACTGTCTGGCCCCACACAGTGCCTATGCACACACGTGTGTATCACACCAGAGCAGAACCAGAGTGGGTTTGCCTGCCGCTGGCTCCCGATGCCCAACTCGGCACTGTGCACAGTAGGCCCTTTGTACTTGAATCCTGCTCTGACCATTACACATTTTTTAAGACTCTCAATAGAAATTTTTCTGCTGCCAGACTCACACACATCCTGCGCCCACATCCTCCTTATCAGCACTCATGCCCTCTGACCCCTGATTTCCACTCCAAAATAGCCACATCCTAGGCATTCTTTAAAGCCCAACTTGTTGTACTTTCTCCTTGTAGATTTTTCTAATAATTATAGCCTGAGATATTTTTTTTCATTTTCATACATCTTTTCACTGGTTATCATGTTGTACAAATTAGCATCCAAGCATTTTGTCTATTTTTCAATAGTTTGTATCAAAAAATATTGTACACCCATATCCTGGTAATGAATATTAGAAAAATGTATAAATATGCGTGCATATACAACACCGGACAACATACAAGCAAATAGATGCTGCATTGTCTCCAATTTTTTAGTGCATATGTCAAGTCTATTCAATTCAAATATAAACTCCCAGTGGAGAGAAATGGTGGTTTATTTTTTTTGTGGCCATTAGCTCTTAACCTTCAGGAATGTAATATGTTATAAACTAGTGTTTTTGAAGCTGTTTGTGCATTGTTTTTATATGGAGACTTGGACATGCAATCAGATTTCCTACCGAAACTCCATATTGACTGAATGTCGCTGAATCCCCCAGTCTGGATGCAATGTGATCTGCCCATGTGATGCTCTTAATGTGCTATCACTACAGGAGGAAGGATGGTTCCTTGGTGGCAATCTGTGTGAAACTACATTTCTCAATCTCTCTTGCAGTTAGATGTGATCATGTGACCGAGTTTCACCAATAAAATGTGAGGAGAGGGGATGGACACCACTTTTCAGGCCTTCTGCATAAAACTCTCTCACGCATAATCCTTTTTCTCTTCCTCTGTCTGTTGGTTGGATGTTGACACCCGGGGTGGCCTTGGAAGTTACATATTGAGGATGGCTGAACCACTGTGTGGAGCAGAGCACTTTCTGTACCCATCCCCACCTCCTTTCCGCCACCTATCAGAGTGGCTTAGTTTGGACCTCATGTGAGTGAGAAGTGACCTTCGATTGTGTTGTGCCAATGTCACAGTAGCTGGTACTTGTCTTAACTAACACACTGCGAGGACTCTGAAGGCACAGCCACTGGAGAAATCCTATCCTCCTCTTGCGGACGCTAATTTAGAATGCTAAACATGTCCTTCTGTTTTATATTACCCTGTAGAGATCCCTGCCTTTTATTATAAACTGGTGGGCAGCATCTCAGGATGTCAAACCATACATAGGATTTTATATTTATAGGATCTTGCTGATCATATGACCCAATTTCTCTTTTTCAGTCTTGAGACAAAACTCTTCTGCAAATTTTGGTGGTGGCATTTTAAAATGACAGGAAGTGTCATTTATTTCTATGCAAATTCTCTTTGGCTATCAAAAAGAAAAAAGAGAGAGAGAGAAAAAGAGAAATTTACTTTCCCATTTAGACAGCTGAAATGTCCTTACCTGTAGCTTGTGCGATGCTGTTTCTAACCATCGCCACCTCAATACATTTGAACGACCCATTCCTCTCAGCCCCAAATTCTCTGCGAGCATTGAGGGAGGGCTGAGATGGAGGATGATGCGAGTCTGACGGGCAGGTTCTACCAATGCCGTGGGTCTGTACAGCCCTAGCAAAGTGCTCTTCCTTTGGCTGTACAGTTGATGTCAAATCTTATGATCTGTTGGCTTTTTCCCAAGAAGGATTTGATGTGACAGGTTTGTTTTTAGCTGGTGCTTGGGGATCTAGATTGGTCTCTAAAGGAATTAAATTACTCACTGATCCTTGAAGCTCAGTGGAAACTTTGGACAAAATTGTCAATCAACAAACATATCCCCAGCACCTTAAATAAGTAAGACAGGATGCTAAGTCCTGAGGGAGTTTCAGAGGATGTCAGTCAATGTGATCCCCAGCTCAGGGATGCTACAATCAGCGTGAAACACACAAAGGAGTTGCCTAGGTGCTGTATCAGACAGCTTTTGCTGTGTAAAAAACCAACCTAAATGTAGAGGTTAAAGCAACAAACATTACCTATCAGTGAGGTTCTCTCAGTTCCCAGGCAGTTCTTCTGGACTGGATCAGCTTAGCTGGAGCTGGGTTGTCTAGGACAGCCTCACTCGCACTTATGGCTTAATGTCACCTGGACGATAGCCGTGTGTCCGTCATTCTCCAATATGCCAACTTGTCTCATTCCCTTGGTGGCAGAAGTATTCTGAACATCAAAGGAGGCCCAGCTGCATGAAAGGACACAATCAACAGAGTGAAAAGGCGACCTACAGCCCAGGAGAAAATACCTGCAAATCATAGGACTGACAAGGAATTAATATCCAGCATATATAAAGAACTCCTGCAACTCAACCACCAAAACAAAAAAAGCCCAGTTAAAAACTAGGCAAAAGACTTAGACATTTTTCCAAAGAAGATATACAAATGGCCAACAAGTATACGAAAAGATGCTTAACATCACTAGTCATTAGGGAAATGCAAATTAAAACTACAATGAGATATCACCTCACATCCATTAGGATGGCTACTATCAAAAAAACAAAAAATAACAAATGTTGGCAAAGATTAGGGAAATTGGAACCCATGTACACTGCTGGTGGGAATGTAAAATGGTGCAGCTGCTATGGAAAACAGTATGGTGGTTCTTTGAAAACTTAAAAATTGAATTACCACATAATCCAGCAATGCTCCTTCTGTGTATATGTCTAGAAAAATTGAAAGCAGGATCTCAAAGAGATATTTGTACTCCATGTTCATAGCAGCATTATTCATGATAGCCAAAGGTGGAAGCAACCCAAGTGTCCATCAATAGGTGAATGGATAAACAAAATGTGATATATATGTACCATGGAATATTATTCAACCTCAAAAAGGAATGATATTCTGATACACGCTACAATATAGGTGACCCTGGAAGACATTATGGGAAGTGAAATAAGCCAGTCACAAAAAGACAAATACCGTATGAGTCAAACTCATAGAAACAAAAAGTAGAATGGTGATGGCCAGGGACTGGGGAGGGGGCACAGGAATTGTTTAATGGGTTCAGAGTTTCAGTTTCACAAGATGAAAAAGTTCTGGAGATTGGATGCACAACAGTGTGAGTGTATGTAGCACTACTGAACTGTTCACTTAAAAATGGTTGAGATGGTAAATTTTATGTTGCGTGTATTTTACAACACGGTCCAATGCACAAGCTCTTTTTAAGTCTCTGCTTGCGTCACATTTTCTAGTCACATAGTCTCTGCTTGTGGCCACAGCACGTTGTAAAGTCCAAATTCAAGAGACAGCAAATAGACTCCACCTCTTGATGGGAGGAGAGCAAGTTGCAATGTGGCGTGGGTACCAGACTGGGAGGAACTATGGGGCTATTTCTGCAAACCATCTACCACACTTACTATGGGCTCATGGAAGGCGTGGGGGGTCAGGGCAGGGCAGTGAGGAATAAGAGCTCTGCCTTGAAAGGTGTGGGATTTCAGCGGAGAGGGAGGGGGTGGAGTGAAAGGCAGTCCAGGCAAAGGCAGAGCTAGAGGAGTGGGCTGGCGAACAGAGAGGCTCGAGCTGAAAAAGGAACAACTTCAGTGCCACTGGGGCGAAGGACAGTGCCCGAGAGTGAGAGGAACAAAGCAGAAAGACGGAAGAGAGGAAAGCAGCCACCTCAGGGGGCTCTCAACATCAACACGGGGACATTCAAATGATCCTGGAGACCAGCATTTCCCAAGCTGCATGCATTTGATATTATAAAGTGTTTAAAAAAGGGTTTTGTGATCAACCAGCTTTGGGCCTGTGTAGTGATTAAAGAGGTTTCTTTACGGCAGGACTTTGCAAAGCCTGCACTTTATCGTGCTTTTGCATTTTCCCAAGGGAAGGTGATGCTGCAGGAGGCATTTCCGAGCCCTCCCAGGCACGCTGTCATGTGTCCCATAGGACACCACTTAGAGAACCCACGGCAGAGTCTGGGAGTCTGGGAGCCGGGGAATAAAGGAATGTTTTAATATGATGGAAGTGTTTATAGGAGTTCCCTGGGGGGCAGACGTCTGTGTTGTCCACACTGTACGCCCAGAGCCTGTCACGGTGCCGAGCACAGAGTAGGTGCTCACTGGAGAGTTCTTAGAACGCTGTCGGAAAACCACCTCTAGGGTCATGTCAGCATACCAATGCCCGTCAAATTTGTCTTTCCCTCAAGTTTGAGAGCAGCTGAAGAACCAATCCAGCATATTATCCTCCTACTCTGGGGACGTGTTTATTCCCCTTCTGCAGCTAATATTTAAGTGATTGATGTCAGATTATTTAGCAAGGTTAGTGCTGAGCTGGACCTGAAGGCCAGAGTTCCTGCTTGGGCTCCTCTGACTAGACCCCCTTGAAATGGCAGCAAAATGTCCCATGGGGGGATGGGGAGCAATTCCCAGTTCGGAAATTAGGAAACTTGATAAAGCAGTATATGAACGAGCTCCAGGCAGCCTGGGATATGTTGACAATTATTACAAAACAGATACTTTGTACTGGATGAGGCATCAAAAATACAAATTTTAAACTCCTAAATACAGAAAGAGTTGTTTGTTCTAATACATTCATGTTTGTTCAGCTAGAACCTGAGCTTGCGGATCTGGAGGGAACAAGGAGTCGGTGGTCTGGTGCCTTTGGGCTCACTCTCAGATTCCCTGGGTGGACGGTTGCCTGGAAATCTTTCCCCTCATTCTGGGGGCAACGGAGGACCAAGACAAGCAAACGCCAGCCCCTGGGCTTTCTGGAAGCTTTCAAGGAGAATGCAGTTCCTCAAGGTCACAGGCACTGGGCCTTATACTTCTGCAAACTCCAGCATCAAGCTCATGGGACAATTCTCTTTAGAAGAGTGGTTTCTAAACTGGGTCAGAGACTCTTTTGAGGATCTGATGGGTGCAGTGGATACTCTTCCTAGAAAAATCAACATGTACACAACATGTTGCATCTTATTTTAGGACCTCCCTGTTAACTCTTGAATGTCTGATTAGACATCAAATTGCCGTCTGCCCCTGATTTGGTGCGTATGTGATGGAGAGTAAGTGGATTTCTCCCAACCACTGTGAGCCAACTGATTTCTTCCACCCTTTTGATTTAGTTTTGTTTATTCAATATGTAAAACATTAACATGATCTCAAAAATCAAAACTATATAAAAAGGTGCTCTCAGAAAAATGTCTCTCCCTCTAGCTGGGTGAGGCTTGACAGATGATGTAATTGTCACCCTCAATCAGGAGAGAGAACATCTCCATCACCCTGGAATGTCTTCTCGTGTTCCTCTCCAGTTTACCTTCTTCCTGACCCCACCAAGGGAACCTCTGACCTGATTTCTACCATTATGGGTTAGTTTTGCCTGAACTTCATATAAATACTCTTTACCACAGTGTGGAGTTGACTGCCATCCACACTGATCTTTCTATCTTGTCCTTGGAGAGCAGCCCTCACTGTGGAATGTCTAAGTGTCCTCCATCGTTTGACATGTTTGCACTGTCTAACCAGAACAAAACCCATTGATAACAGGGGCCGTGTCTTCTACATCCAATAACACATCTACAAAGCACTGTGGGCTGAGCAGGTGTCTACTTCTTGACCAGTGAGCAGATGAAAATCTGTGCTGGAGCCAGGCGTCCATGGGGGCCACCACAGGCTCCTCCACTGTCCTACCAAGAACTGAGCCGAGATACTCACTTGTTCCTTTTGGGCACATAGGGCCCAGAATAGAGTTAGGTATTAGAACACGGAATGTGGGCCAGTGAGAGACATCACAAGTTATAGGAAGAGTGGTACCTAGCTGTGCAGAGCTGCAGAGCTGCAGCCTGAGCATGTGCAGGAAAGGGCCTGGAGGGGCAGTCCTCAGGCTTCAGAGAATCCAGAGAGGCACAGGACTGTGGGTGGAGGATGCTGGAAGGAGGGGCGGTGCAGGGACCATTAAGCCACGCCTCCCTCATGCAGTCAGGGGCGCCCTTCTGCACCAGGCAGACAGATATAGTGCCTCCAGAGACTAAAGCCAGAGGATCTCTGATTAGACACATGGGCACGCAGAAGGCGAGGGGGCGGGGTGGGCTTTACAACATGAGACTGAGTGAAACTAGCATTCTGCAGGGTGCCGTGCTGAACACCAGCCCCTCTCTCAATTCTGCATCATCCAGAGAACAGGTGGCCCTGTGTGGGTCCTGCTCCTCACCCACTGTTGACAAGAGTTTGGAGAATTCTTCCCCTGAGTGACTGAATGCTGCCTTAAGAAAAGTTTTCCTCATCTTGACATTTGCAGGGTGGGGTCCCCCAGTGAAAAATCTGGGCCACTGCTTTTAATAAGTACCAACTCATACCCAACTTGTTTCTCCTATACGCCATCATCCATCCTGGAAATGGTTCACTGTGTGCTGCTAAAACATGAGAAATCCTCTTGAAAAAAGATATAACCTTAATACTATTACCATTCATAAAAATAATGAATAATAATTGCTCAATATTATCAATTATCCAGTTAGTGGTCAAATTTCCAATTGCCTCATGTGTCATTTATTTTTTGCAGTTTCTTTGAACTAGGAACCAAATTATGTCTACATGTTGCAGCGGGTTAACATGTTTTCAAAGTCTCCTTTAAGCTACAAGTTCTCTCTCTGTGTCTCCTTTGCAATGCACTTACAGATCACGTTTCCTGCAGGATGGTTACCTTTGTAAATTCTGTGTAAGGAATAAACGGGCCAGGTCTTCTGCCCCCAATTCAGTTGGTGCCTTTCAGGGCATTTCCCCTCGGAGGGTGAAGAAGAGGAGGGGCAATCCCCTAAATAAACTCCTGAGAACTTGCCCATGCCTGATGGCGATTACACTGACAGGACAGAGTGGATGAGGCCGTGTGCTCCGAGATAAGGCAGCGATCCCATCCCTGGCTTTGTCAGAGGGTGCAGCGCACAGAGGCCGTGGGCCAGCTGATGCGTCTTAGAAGAGAGTTTTACACATTACCTTATTTGATAACTCTTAACAATGTTACGTGAGAAATGAAAAAACAAAATAAATTAAAATAAAAGCATATTATTATACATAGTAAGGAATTAAAGAGGCTCTCTCTTCTTTGCTGACTCTTCAGACAGCCTACAGAGTCATGAATCTTCCACCTCCCCGTCTCCTGTTGTCTATTTGTGAATCATGGGAGCGAATTCATTAGGAAGACGGCTGGCTGTTCAGCCTGGTGAGCGCTCACGCACGGGGACTGCCTGGTCCAGCCTGTCCGGAAGGGTTTCATGCCAGATTTAAGCAAATTCGAAATAAGTGCCAAGCTAGGAGACTTGGATCTGCCCTAAAGAATGAGCCAGTCTTCTTATAGATTTGGGGGCAGGTAAGGATGAATCCCCCAAGAGACAGGAAGAGACAACACACGTGGGAGGGAATATAAATCATCACCCTTACAGGGAAGAGTGACCTTCCAGTTCTCAAGAAATACAAAGGAAATCATGCGGAACTATTTTACACTAGATAAAGTTCTAGGAATGGAGTGGCTGGGTCAAAGATATTCATGATTGTGCTGTTTTATAATAGAAAAAAGATCATACACAATCTGAATATGTGAAGTCAATTATGGAAACTGTTAAGTAAATTATAGAATTTTGACTCTGTAGAATATTATCCAACTATTATAAATACTAAATAAGATCACTTTAACACAAGGAAATGTGATTTCAAAATAACATTAAGGGAGCAGGACAGAGTTTATGAGGACAAAATGTCACAGATGACATACGTGCATGCATCCCTAAAGCTGGGATGAACTGGAAGTATAAACATGGGTGTTGGGCCAATGGGAATAGGAACAAATATCTTTCACTTTTAGGCTGGTGTGAAGGTGTAAAACAACATTCCCTGAGCACTTTCTATGGGTCAGACAATTTGCCTGGACTCCATTTAATCCTCACAAACCTAAGAATAGGATTTTACATAACCTTTCATCTTATAATAATTATACATTAACATTAATGATGATGATAACTATTATGGGTTGAATTATGCCCCTCCCAAATTCATATGTTGAAGTCAAAACTCCTGGCACCTCAAAATGTGACCTTATTTAGCAGTAGGATTATTGCAGATGTAATTAGTTAAGATGTCATACTGGAGTAGAGTGGCCCCCTAATCCAATATAACTGGTGTCCTTATAAAAAGGGGAAATTTGAACAAAACATGTACACAGGGAGGATGCCATGTAGATGAAGGCAGAGATCTGAGTGATGTATCTACAAGCCAAAGAATGCCAAAGACTGCCAGCAAACCACCAAAAGCCAGGGGAGAGGCATGGAGCAGATTCTCCCTCACAGCCCTGATAAGGAATCAACACTGGGCCGGCCCTGTGGTTTAGTGGTTAGGTGTGTGTGCTCCGCTACTGGCAGCCCGGGTTCGGATCCTGGGCGTGAACAGACGCATAGCTTCTCCGGCCATGCTGAGGCCACATCCCACGTACAGCAACTAGAAGGATGTGCAACTACAACATACAACTATCTACTGGGGCTTTGGGGAAAAAAAGGAGGAGAATGGGCAATAGATGTTAGCTCAGAGCCGGTCTTCCTCAGCAAAAAGAGGAGGATTAGCATGGATGTTAGCTCAGGGCTGATCTTCCTCACAAAAAAAAAAAAAAAAGGAACCAACCCTGCCAACACCTTGATCTTTAACCCTGCCAACACCTTGATCTTTAACCCTGCCAACACCTTGATCTTGGAGATCTGTGAGACAATGCATTTCTGTTGTTTTAGGCACCTAGTCTGTGGTACTTTGTTACTGCAGCCCTAGAAAACTCATCCAATAGTAATCACAACAGTAAGAGACCTGGTATTTACTGAGTCGTCTGCGATATGAAGGACACGGCTCTGAGTACTCTCAAGGTACTAACACGTGTCCTCCTTCCAGCAATCCTGGGCCGGGCACTCTCAGTCCTGCCTAGGGACGAGGAGCCCAAGGCACACAGCCGTGATGGAACACTCTCTCCTGCACACCGCTCTTGGTGGTAAAGCTATGATTTGATCGTGGTTCCAGAAACCATGTAGGCACTGAAACGTTTTTGAGTTCTAAAAGATGATAAACTTATAAAGTCAGATTATGGGTTTAGAGACACCCTCTTCCCCCAGCTCTATCCTCCTTCCTGGCTGGTTTCTCAGAAAGGGGTGGCCTGGGAGGACTGAGGGCAGAGCAGGGGTTTTGGTCCTGAAAGTCTGGCTATCCTGGGCCCCAACGCTGCCCATAATTTTCCCCCATCTTCACGTCACTAAAACTCCCAAGCCTGTGCATCCCCCCGAGAGTGGCCTGCCGCAGACAGGCCGGGTGAGCGGAGAGGTCAGCACGAGGGAGGGTTGTGTCTGTTGGGGCCCCAGCAAGGCAAGCCCCCCTTGGATTTCTTCTGCTTTCCTGTGCTCCCTCCCCCAGCACCATCGGGCTTCTCTTTACAGGACTGAGGCTCTTCTGCAGAGGACAGCGCTCAGGCTGAAGGAGCTGTAGACACCACGGGGACAGTCTGGATCATTTGTTTACTGCATCTCTGCTATGCTAGTTTAGACCACAATCCCAGGCCTAGACAATGTTCTGAACAATGGATTTACCCTGGAAGGAGAGGGGACCCAGGACACTGCCACTCTCTGTCCCCTGTAGTATTTATAAATGGTAAAATCAGGTAAAAAGAAGATCAAGGCCAGCCTGGAAAGGGAAAAGGAGGGAAGACCACAAACAGGGCAGAATCTTCCAGTGGACAATGGGAGAAGGGCGTGGGAAGTGGCGGTGCCCAATGGCCCACCCTGCCCCCTGTGTGGCCTGCATTGAAAGACTGCTGCCCCATCACCTCCCCCGGACTTGCTTGGGCATGCCAGCCTCCAGTGGTTATCTCTGTAAAATGGTAGAGCCTGGATTTCTCAGCTTTATCATCAAGGACCTCTGTGGGCTCCACTGACCTCAGCATCCTTCCCTCCCCCAGTTCTTTTTGACACACCCTCTTGTCCCACTGTTTCCAGTTTCCATCCTAGATACCCCTCCACCAGGCTTTTGCTCATTCAATAGCATGTGCTCATGAAATTAACAAGAATGATGTATCAGTTAGCTGCTGTTGCATAACAAAACATCCTACTCTCAGTAGCTCCATACACAATCTGTGGTTGCTCATGTGTCTCCTCCACATGTCCAGGGTTCAGCTGATCCAGGCTGGGCTTTGCAGGTGGTTCAGGCTGCCTTGGCTGAAGAGATGTTGCTTCTTGGTGCAGGTGTGTGGGTTGGCAAGGGTGTCTGTGCACCACATGTGTTCATTCTGGGCCAAGGCTGAAGAGGCAGCAGCAACCCAGGGGGACTCCTCTCATGTCAGTGGCAGAAGCAAGAGAGGGAAGGTGGAAACACACAAGGCTCCTTGATCCTAAGCTCTAACCCGGGAAACTATCCCTTCTTCCTTCGGGCTATTGGTCAAACCATGTTGTGTGCTCAATCTCAAAGTCAAGTGGCAGGGCACTACTTCCCAGCCACCTCACCTATACAGGGTTGTGGACACAGGAGGGGGGAGTTTCAGGGAAAATAATGCAATCTACCACAAGTGGGGAGATGATGATAATAGCAACAAAACATAGAGACAGGGACAAGTGTTTTCCAGTACTTACCATGTAACAGCCCTTAGAATTACTGGGTTATGAGCACTGCTCATCCTCACCACTGTCCCACCAGAGAGGAATTCCTGTTTCCACAGTACTGTAAATGAGGAAATGAGACTCCTGGTGGTTCCCAAACTCCTCTAAAGTCACACAGCTATTAAATGACAGAATCTGGATCTGAGCCCAAGATTTGGAGCTTGAGGTTTAATTCCGAAGCCCAATCTATGTCAAAATCCTCCCTCTCCTTCAAAAATAGCTCTCAAGTGTTGGCTTCCCCATCAACGATTTCTTAATCCAGCATTGTTATCATGTCCGCACACTAGATCAAATGACATCATTGATATCGATTTTCATTCTAAACTGTGCTGTGCTCCACCACTGTCGGGTGTTGTAATGGAGCTCGGTCTAATAGAATTTCACAACAAGCAAATGGATAGTAAACCAACCCCGCTGCACACAAACACAATACTCAAGTCCAGAAGGATTCAATTGCTTTTCACATCTGATGCTATTCGTCAAATGAAGACATCCTTTTTACGAGATTGGAACATGTCAGCTATTTACATTGTCCCAAAGTTAGAGGTAAAGATCTGGAATTGCTAAACATGAAAGTGCTTATCTAAGGTCCCTGAGCAATCATCAGAAGTACCAACAGTGCTGAGGTTCGGCAAAGGGTGGCTCTCCTGGTCTCTGGCCACCTGAAATGGAAAATACTTTCTCACAAGCAAGAGTATTGCTGCCTTTTCTTTAAATGAGATCTAAGTCACACCCTGGAGAGAGGACAGCACAGCCAAAATTTATTGGGCCCACCTGGTGATCCTGAACATTTTATTTGGATAAGTTGCATACTTTTTGAACTTATGCTCTTGAAAAATTCTTTTAGAAATGTCAAGGTGACTGGTTTATTAAAAAAACGAGCCAGAGCAAACAAGGATGACATTCTTCTAATTCTTTTCCTGCCAGGTCATTTTCTCCTTAACATCTAGCTCTGCGTGCCGCCATCTTCTGTAATAGACCATCAGCCCACTCAGAGGTCCACACTTGAGGGACATTGTAAAGGAGATGAGATTTTTCAACCAGTTGACCCAGAGGCCCTTTCACCTTTTCTCACCAGGGCTCCAGCTGATGCTCAAACTGAAGGCTAGAAAATGAGAAAGTCGTGCTGGCGACTCACCTGTGCTGTACCGTCTAAGAACACGGTAACCAGAACACGAATCACTAATGGTGGCCTCATACACTGGCCACTGGGGAAGGGGCGATGGGGTGGGCACGTCCAGCTCCCTCTCATTACTGTCACACCAACAACTGTCAGTCAGTCCGCCTCTCTCCACATGCAGCGTGTCACCAGATTTGCAGTTTCTTTCCCTAAAAAGAAATGTCACTTTGGGGTTTAGACTTGTAATCTGGTTTCGGCAAAATTTTCTCGTGCCACATCAACAAAGCTGATGATCTGAATGTTTTGTATTAGATTGAGTCATATACATTTGCCACTATTTGGCTGTTTTTGGTCTACAGAAATAATTATTCTGCATGGTTTAACTTAAAGAATTGCTTGCTTCTGTGACCCAAAGATGAAAAAAGTAATGAGGTACAGGCATAGTTGACTTTTGAGAAAATACGTTTTCTGGAACAGTCCATAAATCCAACTTCTGTATACTGAATGCTACTTCCCTCTCATGCATAGCAAAACTAGAGTTGTTTCTTCAGAAAATGATTGGCTCTCTAGATGTTCTAAAATCACATTTAAGAAAGAAATTAACATAAAAGAAAGTTGATAGAAAATCAGGATGTGAACTAGCCATCATTTCTCAAACTCTGAACATAAAGTAGAACTTTTAGAAGTAGCAACACAGAACAATTATTGTTTAATTAAGAAAACCTATTGCATGGAAAAGCCACCTTCCTACATATTTGTAGAACAAATTGAGGTCTGTGGTGTCTTCTTGGGGGCCGTCAAGTTCAAATGAGAATTTAGAATATTTTCATTTCCATTTTCCTGATAACATGGAACACAGAAGCTGCCATTGCTCCACAGCTGCAGAGCTCTGCTCGCCTGTATGTCTCTGTCACCAAGCGCGACCAGGAGCCAGGCCACGTGGAGAACAGTCTTATAATGAGTCAACGAGAGAGAGATGGCCAGAACTCAATCACTCTGGCTCATCAATCCCAAAAGAACTGGCAGCAACCTGAGGCATACTTGTTTTCTTGAGCAAATAGCTTTCACAGGTTGTCTCTTCCTGCGTGTCGACTGGCAACAGATCCAGATAGTAACATGCAGAATATGAAGGAGAACATTTGTCATTACATGGTATTTTTTGCTTTTTGAGTACTGTATTCTGTAGTGTGCTATTAGAATTGATTGATCCATCAAAATAATGGGACAGTAGTTAAAATGAATTGATTACTAAAAGGAAAAATATTGAAAATAATTATGATAATGTAACCAAAGTGGGTCCATCATTCTTAGCAAATGAGACGGGAAAGCAGGCAAATACATCTTTCTACTATTAAATTCAACAAGGACTATTTAGTTTCACACAAAACACCATCTATTATGGTAAATTCTTGTTGGTAATTTGAATTCATTGGTTTTAAAGTTTTATTTGTAATAAATTTGGCTGTCTGTTGTTTAGAAGCTATATCTATTGGATGTTTATTCTGTTTTATTTTTGTACAGGTATACATGACATAAAATAATAATAATTCCACGATAATTTTTTCTTTACAAAGGTTGGTACTTTCCTCAGGTTTGGTGAGCAGTGTTGTAGAATTACAACCCAGAACTCACCTCTGCTTACTCACTGCTGGGTCCTAACACCGAGGACATAGCTGGATTTGGGCAGTTAGCACAACATATCACAGAAGAGGACGAGGCCAGGGTTCCTTCCCCCCGAGGAATATTCAGAAGCCCATGTGGGGACACGAGAAGCAGCCGAGGAGGGGCACGAGCAGAACTTCTGGTCTCTGCACAGCTTCGCCGCCAGCAGCGGCCTTCCCGGACCTGCACCGCACGCAGCAGGAGCTCCGGCAGGGGGGTGTCTGAGAAGTGAGGAAGGGAATGCATGGCTTTCAGGCTGCCAGAGTTGGCCAGAGAGGCGCTGTGCTGTCCCCTCTGGGGGCCACCTGCAATCTGTCTGGGATGGACCCAGAGGTCAGAGGCTAGCAGCCTTCCAGTGTGCCTCCGGCCTTGCTTCCCGAAGGGCCCCTCAGCGCCAGCCCTGTCTGACTTACTCCACTTAGAAAGACCTTATTAGAAAAACCCAGCACCTTTTGTCATTGGCCATGCGGAGAGCCCACACGGGAGCCACAGGGCACCTTTAGCAGGCCGTGCTTTTGGCCTGACGAGGCCAGGGACGTAGTCTTTTTTCAGGAAAATATAAATTGAGGAATTTCGTGGTGGGTCAGACCGAAGCCTCAAGTACAAGTTCTAGATAAAGTTGTGCGTTAGATCAGGGGTTGGCAAACTGACCCTCAGGCCAAATCCAGGGCACCACCTGTTTCTGTAAACAAGGTTTTATTGGTACACGGTCGTGCCCATTTGTGTTCATTTTGTCTGTGGCTCCTGCCGTGCTGCAATCACAGAGTTGAGTAGTTGCTACAGAGACGTATGGCCAGCAAAGCCTAAACTATTTACTCTCCAGCCCTTTACATAAAAAGTTTGCTGGCCTCTGCATTCTAGGAGTAAAAGGAAAAGAACCCCTTTCCAGGAGCCCCTGGGAGGACTCGCAGACAACAGCAGTGCACGGGTGCATTCCTGCTCCAGCTCCCAGGCTGTGAAGCAGTCGAGAGCTCTCTGAGCATTTCTCCTAAATAACCTCAAGCTTAGCCAAAGGACTGAGAGCAACCAGTGACTACTTTTTCCTAGAGGTTTGGGTGGTCATAACCTCTTCGTGGGCTTCAGGCCTGCACGGCCAGGCTCGTGTGCCTCCTGCACTGGTCACTAGCTGAGGGAACCCAGCAATCCACAGACCCTCCCTTCTGTGCCTTGGTTTCCTTCTAGGTGAGACGGGGATAAGAAAAATGCATATCTCATAGGGTTTTTATGAAGATGAAATGAGAAGTGAAGAGTCAAGTGCTTAGACCCTGGCTTGGCTCATACCCAGCATTCAACAGATACGAGGATACCCGAGTTGGAGGGGACCTCAGAGAGGACACTATCATTACCATCCATCAGAAGAGGAAGTTCCAGAGAGGAAGGGTGACTCTCCCAAAGTGACAGCCTCAATTTGTGCCAAAGCAGGTCTTGGACTCAGGGCCCAATCATAGAGACCACTGATATTTTTTGAGTGTTTGCTGTGCGCTGGGCCTGGGCCCATAGTTTTTATGTTGAATCCCGCTAAATGCTCACAGCTTCCCTGTGCGGTGGGGATTTCACTCACTCCCATTTTACAGATAGGGAGGGGGCGATGAAGCAACCCGGAGGTTCTGGAACTCAAACTTGTCCGGGGTGAGCTCAGGGAAGTTCCCGGTCCATGCCCTCCACTCCTGCTCCACACAGCTCCACCTGTGCGTTCACTGGGGAGAAATGTCGCTCTCTGGGGTCCCGGAATAGAGGAGGTCTGGAGGAATTCACCTAGAAAATGCCTCCAGCATAAACTCTCCCTCTGGGTTAACTGGAATAAGTCAGAGCCCTCCTGGCTGCCCCTCTTCTCCTGGGTCAGGCATTGCAATGGTTCCACCTAGTGGTCAAAGGGGAGAATTGCCAACCGTTAGTTCTCTGAGAAGCAACTACACCAGAACCCTCCTGCTCTGCGTGTCGTCTCACCCACCACCATCTCACCAGGTCAAGGGATAGGTACATTGGCCAGACGCCGGCCTTGGGGGGGTAGCAGTGGACGTGTCCGTGAATGCACTATGGAAGGAGGACGTTTGCAGTGGCCAACTCTCCCTCTTCAGACAGTCACCTGACCTCTCAGAGCCTCTGCATCCCAGTTCAACCAGAGGCGATTCTGTCCCCAAGGGGACATTTGACAAGGTCTGGACACATCTTTGGGTGTCACAGTTGGGAGATGCTACTGGCATCCAGTGGGTGGAGGCCAGGGATGCTGCTAACACTCAACAATGCACAGGACGGCCCCCACGACCAAGGACAATCTAGCCTCAGATGTCAGCAGCGCCACCTGCTGTTGAGAAACCCATCTGTCCCCTCCTCATCACACATGTGTGAGTAGGCAGGAGGACTGAGTGAGGCTGCGTGTGCTCAGGGCCTTTGCACATGTTATGCCTTCTGCCTGGACCACTCTTCCCACCCTCTTCACTCTCTTATCCAGGAGTTTACCTTCAAATCCCAGCTCACAGACTACTCTACAGGGGAGCTCATCTGCTCAGCACTTTTCTCTGCCTGATCTCCCCACAGGCAGACCTGAGACAAGGATTCAGGGGAAGAAGTTTATTTGGGAGGTGACCCCAGAACACAACTGTAGTGGAGTGAGGAAGAGAGAGCAGACTTGGGGTGGGGGCACCGAAGGGTGAGTTAGTGAGCAGCTATTACTGCAAGCAGCTGAGGCTTCATCTCCAGGGAGGGGGCCGTGAGGACTCATGCCAAGTGAGCCTCAAAACCGCCCCCTCTAGGAGGAGGAAGCCGGGGTACTCGTCCTCCAGCTTCCTCCCTCATGAGTGGAGAGCTGCTCCTGGGCACAACCCCCACACTGCAGCCTGTGCCCTGACGGGGAGCGACAGATGCAGCCACGGTGGCTTGGTCTGCATGTGGCTCTCCACATCAAAGGAACTCAGCCTTGCACCTCTCACCTCGTTCCTCTGAAGCTAATGGCTCACTTCTCTCAACCGAAGCTCCAGAGGCCGGCAGCCAGGGACTTGGCACAGTTGATGACCATGCAGCAGGATCTGGGATCTGTAACATCACCATGGAGGCGACTCTAGCTCCTTGTTCTCTGTGGCCACATTGTTAGGGCTATGGAAATCTGGAGGTTCGACAGCAGACCACCATGAAAATTGTTTTATCACATCTCCGGCTAGACACAGCTTAGTTTGCTTAGTAAGAAAAGCAATATTTTTGTTGAATTTCACATTTTCTACCAAGTAATGAATTAACCTTTTTGAAATCACAAAGGGGATCACAGTAGGAAAATGAAGCCATAGCCTGTCCGAGCTGGCTACAGCACACAGGCCATCAGAGAGATGGAGGGGGAAGCCTGGGTAAAGGAATGGAAGAGAAAACATAAAAGCATTCAGCACTAACTGATCCAAACCTGTGAGAACCAGCTAGTAATGAAACGGATCAGCTCATCCTCTCAGCAGGGACGGATTCGGTGGTGCACCAAGTTAGTTTAGACTTAAGGAGCTGGTTCCAGGAGACCTGAGCCTACCCTCGTCCTGTTGCCATGGGGGCCTCCTTCCAACTCAGCCACTGTGAACACCATCTACATACGAGTGGCTAAGAAAGTGTGTGGAGAGACTTACAGCTCTCCATTTCAGTGATATGAACACACTTCTGATTAATTAGTAAACAGACTCACCGACAGGGTAGGCTGGCTGAGGATGTAGAAAAATACTGATTTCAGGTGGGAGGACTACTGTCCTTGACATCAGTCGCTCAGATTTTTCTAATTTTGTGAAAAGTCGACACTCCAATAAACTTTTATTAAGCACGTAACGTGGCTTACGTTGCATCGAGGGCTGCATGTATGGAATCGAGCAGGCATGACGTGTCTGACGCATGTGCTGCCCCTCCCCTCCCACCTCGCCTCTGCACTGTGGGGAACTACATTTCCCAGGCTCCCCTGCCTTCCTGGTAGGCTCGGTCAATGGGAGGCACCGGCAGAAGATTGGCTGGCGGGAGGAGGAGAGAGGCCAGGGCATGTCTCCCCCTCTCTTCCTGCTTCTGTTGGCACCTCCAGCAGAGGCCATCTCACCCACGACTCCAGCTCCTGGGAAAGCCAGTCCCTCTCTGTGCTGCCTGCTGTGCCAGGCTCAGCCTGGGTAGAGAACCTGGGCTCTGATAACCCCATGTTCTCCCTCTGCCCCTCCAGTGAGGGGTGGTATCAGCTTCTTGGCGTTGCTTATTCCTGGGTTTGTCTCTGTTTCTTGGTTGTCTCCCCAGCTCTCCCATCCCTTGTGTAACAAATTCCTTGTATTAAATCCTCTCTGCTTGAAATGCCCAGGGTGGTTTCTGTTTTCATGGAGATCCTGCCTATCCTTCCAAATTTATTTCGTATCCCTCCCCTCTCTCGCTAGGGTTCAGGCTCCGCGGCATCCTCTATGTTCACAGACACCTGCTTCTTTCTCACCCCAGGGCCTTTGCACTTGCTTCTCCTCTGCATGAAGTGCTGTTGTCCTGGATCTCTCGGTGGCTAGCACCTTCTCATCCCTCCAATTCCAGCTAAAACGTTACCTCCTCAGAGGCCTTGACTCATCCTGCCCCCACCACAAGTTACTCAACTTTCTCATTGCCCTGTTTATTTCTTTCATGCCGTGTATCATGATCTGTAATGATTTTATTTACTTGTTTGTATAGTTATTTATCATCTGCCCTCTCTACTAGAACATATGCTCCCTATTCCCAACATTTAGCCCTGTGCCTGGCACATAGCAGACACTGAATAAAAATTATTGAATGAATGAATAAATCAATGTTTTGAAACAGTCTGAACCCATGACAAAATCAAAATTAGAGAAGTTTCAAAAATGGTGATGTTCTTCACCAATTTTGGAGATAAGTCTGGGGCCAGGGGCGTCGGTGTCAGAGTTTGTGAATTCATCTACTTGGAGTGGAGCGGATCCTCACGGGCACTCCTTCTGCTGGATTGGGCTGTGTTGACCTGGGGAAGGCGGTGTCTCCCTGACATTTAGCACTTGGTTTTCTCTGGGCTGGAATCCTGGGCTGCCACTGTCTGGATGGCAGTGGGTACCTGCCTGTCCATGCTTCAAGGGTTATAAACATCTGACTGCAAAACAAGGATGGGATTCCCGTCACTCGCTTGTCGATCAAACCTGTAACGGGAATTGTTGGCACCCCGTCCGCCTGCCTGGGTGCCCCCTCAACCGGGACGGACAGTTCCCAGTAAACGCACAGCTGCCCCCTCGAGCCCCTGTACCTCTCTTCTCTGCCGGGGGATCCCCCACCACAGGAGCTGGCCTCCTTGCCAAGGGGTTGGATGGCGGTGTGAGGTGGGGTGGGGTAGGAGTTGATGACAAAATGCCCTCACCTCCAGCTCCTGGTGGGACAATTCCCAGGTGTGGCCACCACGGTTTCTCAAACAGTCCTTGGCAGGATTAGGCCCGGATGCCCACAGTGGTCAACTGCTTGTTAACACCCAGTTATCCTCTGCCTTCCCTGCCTGTCTCACTTCCCTTCTCCCTCATTTGTGCCTCATGGGGCCACCTCCCAAATAAGCTCCCTGCACCCAAGTCCTTGTCTCCAAACCGAGCAGAACCTGATTCCCAATTTCTTAGCAGCTCCTCTTTGTTCCATTTAAGGGTTCGCTTCTGTGTCAAGGGTGGGTAGACATGAGCCATTAGCTCTCCCTTCTCGCCTGCTCACCACCTTCCTCATCAGGAGGAAGAATCGGCCCCTGGCAAGTTTGTCCATATCTGGACCTCTAAAGCAGCGGTTCTCCGAGGGGGGGCCAGCCTGCAGCAGCAGCAGTGTTCCCCAGGAGCCAGGGAGAAACGCGGTGCACCATGAGGTGTGCTCCCCAGCCCTCCCGGGCCTCCTGAGGCTCGCTGCCATCTGGGAAGCGCTGCTCTGAGGCCAGCTGATCATCAACGGACATGCAGTTCACAAGCAGCTCCTCCCCCGTCTAACACCACGGGGAGGCTTCCGGTCGCTGACTGCACAGCAGTGTCTGAAGATTCTTACCAGTCATAGTAGATGTCCCTGTGCTTACCAATTTCTTCATAGTAGCCGGCCAAAGTGATTCTTGATATCACAAAACAATTGTTGAGAAGAGGGGCTTTGCAGCAGAGGCACCTGTGCGGACAGCCAGCCTGGCTGGTGAGTGGCGGCCTCGTCGGGCTCCGTGCATCCCTGGGATACTTCACCATTCTGTGCCCGCTGCTCCCCTAGGGGCTCACTCTCAGTGCCAGCACCTGCATCTTCTTTGCTTGTCCCACCCGCAGGGGAATGGGACGTCCCTCACACAGTGATGGACAGGTGTGTGTGTCCCCAAGACCACCCCGAGGATCCACGGGGCACTGGAAGGACTCACAGCACTCAGAAAAGCCATTATATTCGCAGTTACGTTTCATTACAGTGCAAGGATACAGATTATCAGCAATGGGAAAAGGCACCCCGGGGGGTCCTGGAGGGCTCGGGGTGTAGACCTTCCTGTTGTCCTGTGCCAGTGGTGCTGTGTGGACAGCGCTGCTTGTCAATGGTGACATGCATCTTTGTTAATGAGGGAGGCTCATCTGAACCTTGGGGTTGGGGTTTTTAGTGGGGGTGGGTCACATAGACTGGCTCACAGCCCACGTGGCTGACCTTAGTCTCCAGCTCTTAGAGGTCAAGCTGATACGTGTGACCCGAGGCCCTCCATAAATCCCATTTTAGCATAGACTGTCTGGTGCGGCCCGAGGCCAGGTAAACAAAGGCAGTCTCATCAGCAGGACACTCCAGGGCTTAAAGGCTGCTTCCCGGTCTCTGTGCAAGGGCCAAACCTCCCAAATCTTGGTGGGGTCTCTGGAGATGTGACCAGCTCAACCCTACCTCCAGAGCTCCCAGCAGGACTGAGCCAACAGTGCCCTCCATGGGACCAACTCAATACTAGCCCTGGCTCCGCCTCCTTCCCCCGCGGGGCTCCCCTCCCCGCTCCTCTCCCTCTTTCCAGTTCTGGGAACACTTCCTAATGAAACCCTCTCACACAGATCTTTGTCTCAGGATCTGCTTCTGGGGCCCCCCAGATAAGTCATGTTCTAAACTTCCCAAATTTTCGGTATTTTGTGAACCTTCTGCTCTGAATCACCGTGGCTTTAAAACCTCCAGGTGCGCAGTTCCTTCACACCTCGCATCCGCAGGTAAACTGAGCCGTGTTGACAGAGACGACACCCTGCTCACATAGACTGCTGCTCCCTGCAGTCTCCCCACAACTGGATCTTTCCAGGAGTCCCCAGGGCCATCTCGGTCCCATGTGGTCACCTGCATCCTCTGGACCTGGCCATTTCTGCTGGGTGCCGCTCCCGTATCTCTCTGCACCTGCTGCTCTGAGCCCACAGCCTCCACTGGGAGCCTTGGACATCACTCCGGAATCCTCCAGGTTTGAAGCTGAGCCAGCTGTGAAGTGGCAAAGGCTGCCTATCTTCTCTCTGTGCTGCCCTGGTAGAGACAGCTCCAGTTCCGAGATCTTGCTGCGCCTGTGAACTGGCTCTTCAGCTTGTACTTGAGGCTGGCCTTCTCCTGGAGCCCAGCCACGCCTGCCATCCGGACTCTGGAGGTGGGCCCCTCTCTTTCGGATGGGTCTCCACCTTAATGCAAACAACTTCTCCAAAGACCCACGGGTGGCCTGGGTCTCATCTCAAACTGAGATCTTCACAACATATGATGGGCACGACTCTCCCCACCTCTTCCGTGGCATTTCCCTCTCCTTCCATCCCAGCTGGCTACCCCCGGGCCCTCCGCCCACCCCTCCCAGAAAAGAGGTCCTCCTTGTGCAGCTTCTGCTCAGCAGAAGGGATCCCTCACTATCTTTTTGAAATCACAAAACCACTGTTTGTGTGTGTGTGCTGCTTCATAGTTACAGCTCCTTTCAACCCTGAGAAACGCACGGGGCAGGACCATCCCTGACTTCATGGAGAGAAGAATACCCAGATCAGACAGGCAGTGTCTTGCTGCATGAGCTTCCTAGGGCAGCCATGACAAAGTACACAAACTGTGTAGCTTGAGACAGCAGAAATTCAGCGTCTCGCTGTTCTGGAGGTCAGAAGTCCAGAATCAAAGTGGCAGTGGGGCCATGCTCCCTCTGAAACCTGGAGGGGAGAATCCTTCGCTGCGTCTTCCCAGCTTCTGGTGGTCGTCAACAGCCTTCGCATTCCTTGGCCTGTGGTTGCACGGCTGCCTCTCTGCCGCCATCCTCACAGGCGGTCTCTCTGTGTCTGTCCTCACATGGCCATCGTCCTCCAGTAAAGACACCAGTCATGTGGGATCAGGGCCCACCCTACTCCAGCATGACCTCATCTGAACTAATTACATCTGCAATTACCTCAGTTCCAAATAAAGTCACATTCCGAGGTACTGTGGATCAGGACCTCAGCACACCATTTTGGGAGACACAATTCAACCCGTAACACTTGCCTGAGTTCATAAAGCTGGTGAGCGGAAGCTGAATTTCAGGGACAGGAACTTTACTCTGAGTCCAGAAATATGCATCGTCACCTCAGAGAACAGCAAGGTGCTCTGACACGAGGATGGTCTGGGTGCTAGTGGCTTCCGAGGCCTCGAATAATGAGGAGAAACCCTTTTTAAAGTCCAAAAATTCATACCGACTGTTGTATCAGTTAAGGTTCAGTCAGGAAAATAGGTGGCCCGTAGAAGGAATTCAGTTCGGGGAGCTAGTTAAAAATGTGTTGGAGTAGCCAATGGGTAGGTTAGCATCCCAGAAATCAGCTGCAGCTGCTCTTAAGACTAGAGCTGGAGGAGCCACGGCACGAGGTGGTGTTAGCAGAACTAGAGCCAGAGTCTCCTAGTGACAACTGGGACCAGGGCGGGGCCCCCTGGCTGAAGCTAATGAGGATAGGCAGCCACCATGTCTCCATCAGACACGAGGGGTTGAGTAGAGGGGAGAAGTACCCTGGCTTGTCCCTTCCTCTCAGCTCTGTTTCTTGGCAGATCTCGTCATTGGCCAAACCTAAATGGAAGCCAGCTGGCCAGAGAGCCTGAGAAATGCTGTTTGCAGGGGAAGATTCTGGAATGGATCTGAGAGCAAACAGCAAATGGTGGGCACCCATGTTTTGTAATCACTGATAGGCAATTAAAAAAGGCAATTTAAAAAAACCCAACACAGGGGCCGGCCTGGTGGTGCAAGCGGTTAAGTGCGCGTGTTCCGCTGCGGCGGCCCGGGGTTCGCAGGTTCGGATCCCGGGTGTGCACCAACGCACCCCTTGGCAAGCCTCGCTGTGGCAGCGTCCCATATAAAGTGGAGGAAGATGGGCACGGATGTTAGCCCAGGGCCAGTCTTCCTCAACAAAAAAAAAGAGGAGGATTGGCAGATGTTAGCACAGGGCTGATCTTCCTCAAAAAAAAAAAAACAACCTAATATAAACTAGTCGCACTTTGAGTGATTAAAAAAAACTTGAAGAGCTGTATACACTTGCAAACAATAGTGCAGATGTGTGAGTGGCCCATTATTTGTTCAGTCCACTGTCGAAGCTTGGTGGGCATGTAAGGAGGCCCTGGCATCGACTCTGGGTCCCTCCATCCCTCCCCAGAGGTGGGCGGCTGACAGGTTGGGCCTTTCTCTGCTGGAAGATTAAACAGCTAAAACCTCACCCCTCGCAGCCTGCGATGACGCACAGAGAGCAGGAAGCATAAGCCCCTGTGTGCATGTGGCGCTGGTGCCTTTGGAAAATCTGAGGAGCTTTCTTAATTACCGTGGACGCTTTCGGCACCTAGCTGGTAAACAGCTAAGTCTAATTAATACTGTCTGTGTGTCTGGGAAATACCATTTCTTTCATGGTGAGTCCTCTCGGCTCCAGTGGCCGCGGAGCCCAGCCCCACGGTAGTGTCCTTCTCCGCCTAGGAGGAACAGGGATGTGTGCTGAATTCTGCAAACCAGCATGGAACACAGGTGAGGGGGGTAGCGGGCCTTTCCCAGACTGCCCCTGGCTGGCTCTGTGACGCGGGGTCCTCTTCTCCTCGGGGCTGTGGTTAAACCACTCACTCCGGGCTGTCGAGAGCTCTGTGTCTCCACAACAAGAACCCCCTGGAGAGCTGGTGAGGTGTGAACATAAGCTCCCTGGAGGCTGGGTTTAGTCTCTGCTTTGAACACGGTCTTATCTGCAGCGCAGGAGTGATGCCCAGCGTGTAGCAGGACTGTGAAACGTCTTTGGGGATGGGCTGAACCTTGGTTTTTGGCCCAAGCAGCCAAATGATTGGCTGATTCTCTCACAGAGGCACAGAAGTTGCAGCTGGGAGTCAGTGGGGTCTGCGTGAGCCACCCAATGGCTGGATGGGAGGGAGTGATTGAAGACAGCTCACGCAGCCTTAAGTCTTGTTATCCTGCTGTCAGAGAGGATAAGAAACTCCCAAACTTTAATTTCTTAGTGTCCCGGCTGATGGATCCAGTGCAACCCTGCACGAAGAGCCTACAGGCCTCGGAGGAGACCTGCGTTCAGACCAGTGCTAACAGGCTTTCTTACCGTGCAGCGTGCCTTCCTATTGCATGGATTTGCATGTGCTGTGGACCAGAACATGTGCCCTGACCTTACTAACATGTCAGCACAAGCTGCAAACCCTCAACCTGACACTGACCAAGCAGGGGGTTGTGCCCCAGGTCAAAGGTAATCCTGCCTTTTGCTTCTCATTGGTCCATGCAGCCTCAGTTTCTAGGAAGTGTCATTGATGTTTGCACAATGTAAAGTATTGTCATTTTGATGATCTAGGCCAATAAAGTCACACCAGATGCATGAAAGCATGTGGAAGATAAATCTCATTTAATGCAGAATGCCCTTCTAGCTCCCCTCTGAACCAGCTGCAATGAAGCAGCATGGGCAGCAGAGGGCAGCAGAGGATGCTGTTTCATGGTTCAGTTGGGACCTGGCTGGGCTCCTCACCCCACCTTGCAGGAAAGGGGGTCCCACAGGCCAGCTCCGCCATGGTGTGAGATTCACCACTTTGACATGTCCACTGGGCACTGAGTTGGACAGAGTCTCTGCTTATCCCCAGCTTAGGCCTGTGGAGAAGCTTGCTGTATGGACAGCCTCTAACTCTAAGGGGAGACAAGTCACAGGTGTTCCCTTTCCCCATCCACATGTCTAGGGAGTGGACATCCACATGTCTAGTTAGGGTTATCATGGTGGACAGACCTCCCTGTCCCTCCTACAACCGGTGGGAGTGCCTGGGGCCCTCGAGTAGCTGCCTGTTTTGTGAAGATGAAGAATCTCATCTTCTGATCCCCTGGAACCCCTAGAATCCTCTCCTGGAAGCTTGAGGTCCTGTGTGCACGTGTGCCTTGGGCATCCTCCATGACTCGGATGGCTGGATATGAGCAGACTACCCTTCCTCCTCACCCTTTCAGTGCTGAGATAAACCCTGTGAAAATGCCAATGCGGGAAAGTGAAAAGATGGAGGCAACGTGCACAGCCTGGGAGGGTGCACAGCACCCTTGATAGGCACAGCAGCCTATCAAGAAAGCGAGTCACATTTTGAGCAACCTTCATTGTTTTTTTCCTAGATTTGTTGAGTTATAATTGAGAAATAAAATTACATATATTTAAAGTGTACAACATGATGATTTGACATACATACACATTGGGAAGTGATTACCACAATCAAGTTAATTAACACACTCATCATCTCACATCATTACCTTTTTTTTTGT